CTGTCAGGGTGTCTGACCTGCACTGTCCAAGAGAAACCCAACTACAGCAAGAAGCTGTAGAGTGAAACTTGGTTTTTGAGCTGACAGACTTAATTGCTTTGAGAATTAGGATCTGTGCCTAAAACTACCATCAAAAGCTAAGTGAAAACTGGTGGGACTTAAGCACAGCTTGGAAGTGGAGAAAAACTACCCTGAATAATCCTATTTTCCAAAACCCACATACTTGAGTTATTCTGAGAATTATAAACATACCAGAAAAAGGTAGTGAGAAAATTACTAGCCTGATGTTTCTCCTACATCAGAGATGCAAATAAAACGGTTTCAATTCATGAACTTTTTTTTAAAGACACAACACAGAAAAGTGAGCATAAGTCTAATAAATTATTTCATGTTATCCTTAAGGAGATAATAATAGAAAAAATACCTGTTGTGGTTTTTTTTTAATCTAATCCTACAAAAACAATTATTTGTTCTACACTCATAGCACATAAATGTAAATGCATTTTGTTGTAAGACTGAGGTTTATTCATTTACAGGATTCCTCAGTAGCAACCCTAGTCCCGAGCAAATAAAGCCAGGACACAACACAGGTGGTGTAGATTAGGGAGTATACCTATGGGATATTACAAAAAAAAGAAAAAGGGGAGGGCAAACACCCCCCCCTCCCCAACCCAACCAAAAAACTCCCCACCGGAATATGGTCAAACTGATTTTTTTTCAATCATGACTTTGAACTTGAACTATTTTACTCACTAAAAAGAGAACTTCCCAGGAAAGGTTATTTAGAAACATCATGCATTTTCTAGCTGAAGCAGCCATTCTTCAGTTAAATCCTGGAAGTGCCTTTTACTCTCCATCAAGGGGTAGGGAGGATGGAAGAGGCCAATCCAATTTTCCTTAAAAGTTCAAAAAAACAATTCATATCAGAGGATAAAGAAAAATAATCCTCACCAGGATTTTTGTCAAAAAAGGAACATAAAAACCAGGAGAAGGCATACTGAAATCCCAGTGCATCTTTAAAAGCAGTATAGGTATTTATGTGACTGCCTCGCAACCCCAGGGCTGCATCAGGATCCGCAGCTGTGTTGAGAACATGTAGCAGCCACAATTGTTCTAACAGCATAAAGATTATTACAATGATATCTTATTTCAGCTCACAAGCAGTTTGATTTAAGCCTTTAATATAACAGTAGTGCAAGGAGTTCCTCACACTCAGACCTGAAAGAAAAAAAAAAGCATCTTACCATATCCTTTGTGTGCAAGTCTCAAACTATGTTTTTATGTGGTCGCTGAATTATGTCTGACAAAATGCCTCTCACGCAAACAAGGAACTTACGAAAATAATACAGAAGCAAAATGGAATTAGAGTGAATCTATTTAAATGCACGCTATTTTTCCCAGAAGGTACAAAAGTTAACGGTTTGAATTTATTTGGAAATGAGACAAAAAAACCCCACCACTCAAGTAAAAGCTTCTTCACACACAAAGGCTCACCGCGTTTCAGCCTTTGTGGAAAAACTTCACGTTCCTTAATCTGCTGTGACTGTCAGAGTTTTCAGGTTTTGCCAATTATCTTAATGTTATATATCTTAACAGTATGTCCAGCGCAAACTATATTTAGATTGTTTGCTCAATTCATCTGTGCCAGAAAGGAACAGTTACATTATTTTCATTTACCACTACCACTGCCTGAATTTGAATTTGCAACAGTAAATGTAAGGCTAGATGTTTCTATCCAATCCTCTGGGAATGCCTTTACTGAAAATTACTAAGGAAACAGAACTTATGTGCATTTTTGTTTGGTTGGTTTATGTTAATATTTCACAAAATATACATTTCATTTACAATACTTAAACTACAAACAAATTTTAAATTTTTTATGTGATAGTACTCATTTTGTAATTTTACTGTGCTCTGATTTTTTTAATATTTTCTCTCAAAATCCAAAGTTAAAACCAAGCCAAGTAGTACTTGTTAAAGTGATCCTCATTCCTCTATGATGACAATCTTTAAAAAAACCCGTACTGTGCAAAAAAACCCTTCACTACACACCACAAACCCCAAATAGTTAAATTATTGACTATAATGTGGTATACAGCCATCTTCTGAATGCCAAGGCATGATGTATAAAAAGTACTTCACAACAAATGCTTATTTAAATCTTACCACTTGTTTCTTTTCATAGAGAGCAAAAATAAAACCACGCAGCAATAACTCCTTATCTACACAGTTGGGGATTCAGCATTTTGCAGGCTGCAGAGAGGCCAAAGCAGCAGCAAATGCCACCAGTCCTACCACTTCTGAACAGGGTGGGGAGGCAACAGCCCTCTTTACTTAATAGCATAGTCCAACTTAAATTCAGCACTTATTTTGGTATAAAATCTCAACTCGGAGTCAGATTCTGTTGTGCTAGGTGTCAGACAGGGAGACAAAGCAGCAATCCGTTCTTTCAAAGGATTGCAGTTTTTAACTGGAGCACAAACATGATGCCTTAGGGGCCAGGATAAGCAGACAAATTCAATTTCAGATACCTGTTTTGATACCAGTCTTATCTGTGTGATTACATGAACTGATGAAGATCACTTACGTCTATTTAGCATCTATTTACTTATGCTGCACACTGTCTAAATCAGTCCAATTTCTGCCACCCTCAAAGTATCTTCAAGACCTGGCTTTGCCTCTGTAGGCTATCAAGGATCCTGTCTTCATGTCAAGCTTACCTTAAATCTGTTTAAATAAACCAGTGCCAAAAAAGCCCCCAGAACATTTAATTTGCACCACATGATCACTTCTGCTGCTGTTTTAATCTTCCTTAACTGTGTTGGAACAACTGCTATAGCCCCAATCTTACATCTTAAGTCTTACGTACTTTTAAATTTCCTGTGGTTTTAGACCCCGACCTGACACTGCTTTAAATCACTGATAACTTGCCTTGTCTTCCATAGTCAAAAGTTTTCAAAAGTCCTCCATGCTTCTCCTATTATTTTCTGCTTATCCCTTACAAGTAGAACATGCTCTTTAACATAGAAAATTATTACCTCTCATTCAGTCACAAGACCTCCATTAGACACCAAGAGCAAGTCACACTGAACTGGTAGCTAGGCAAGTGATAAAGTAAGATTTTATCATTGAGAGAAATAACAGTATGGACATCAAAATATGCAGTTGGCTAATTATTATTAGATAACTATAATGTAGAAACCTCAAAGGAAGAGGAGGGCTCCATTTTGCTATGGGCCACTGGTAAGGGCAATAAACTTTGACATGGTCTCACAACATGGGATGTTAGGAAATCATATAAAAGTGTCATTAATATTAGCGATGAAGTTAACAAAAACACTTCCCAAGAGCTACAGCTTACCTATCAACCCAAACATACTTGGTGAGCTCTAGTCAGAGCCGCCGGCTTGTAGGTATTAGGTGCCCTCAGCCAAACAGGCCCACTAAAGTGCTCTAGTCGCCTCAGATGAAACAAAGGTGAAGGGACTATTTTACTTTTTGTATGTTAGGGTTTTAGTACAGACTTGGAAGAAACCTAAATGCCTTTGCATGTCCTCATTTCTCTTTCAGCTATTAGCTAGAAATGGCATGTGTACCAGAAGACAGAAGCAAATATGTTAAGCACGAAAAATCATATGCAAGCAGTATCATTTCATACCATGCACCTTATTATGACACAAAATATGTTTTGTAAGACATTCAAGCGATTAATGCATAGCAAAAAAACCCAAATCCATGCATTCCTACTGCTGGGAATAGTTTAATATTTAAAAAACTGTCTTTTCACTTGAAGGAAAAAAACAGAGTCTGATAGATTACATTAAGAAAAACATGTTTTCTAGTGAATGCTCTATCTTCTATATATTTATCTGAAACTTTAAGATTCATATTTGAAGATGAAACATTTCTTCTTACTGATAACCTAAAAAACCCTACCCTAAACAAAAAACAGTATAACTTCATTGTACTAACAGTCCCCAGGAACCGGATTCTAATGGCTACACTTGATGTAAAACGCCAAGCCCTACACTTGGGACAGAGTAATCCCATGAAAGAGCAGGCTCTTGACTGAATGACCAAAGAGCAGCTTTGGAGAGATGATGGACAATAAGCCGAAGAGAAGTCAGCAGTGCACCCTTGCAGTGACGACAGCTAACAAATAACGGGCTACGCTGCCAGGAGCATGGCCAGCAGGTCAAGGAAACTGATTACTGTGTTCCACTCAGCACTCATGAGATCAAATCGGGAGTACTGTGTCCAGTTTTGGGCCCTCCAGTACAAGACACAAGGGCAGGTCAAGCAGAAGGCCACCAAGATGGTTAGAGGGCCACAGCACATGATGTACAAGGAAGGGCTGCAGGAACTGGGTTTATTCAGTCTGGAGAAGAATGAAATATAAATATTGTTTTCAACTACCAAATGGAGGTTATAAGAGGAGATGGAGCCAGACTCAGTGGTGTGCAGTCAAAGGACAAGGGGCACATTTTGCAGCAGGGTACAAGGGGGAAAAAAAGAAAGGCATTCACAGTAAGGGCAGTCAAGAACTGGAAAAGGCTGTCTGAAGTTGTGGGGGCTACAAAGCTGGCACAGGGTCTGGAACACATGTCCTATGAGGAACGGCTGAAGGAACTGGGATTGTTTACTCTGGAGAAGAGGCGGCTGAGGGGAGACTTTATCACCCTCTACAGCTACCTGAAAGGAAGCTGCAGAGAGCGGGTTTGAGCCTCTTTAGCCTAGTAGAAAGCAACAGGACAAGAGGGAATGGCCTCAAGTTGCGCCAGGGAAAGTTCAGACTAGATATTAGGAAGCATTTCTTTCCAGAAGGGGTTGTTGGGTGTTGGAATGGGCTGCCCAGGGAGGTGGTGGAGTCCCCATCCCTGGAGGGGTTCAAGAGTTGGGTCGATTTAGAGCTTAAGGATCTGCTGTAGGTGGGAACTGTGCTAGGAGAACAGTTGAACTAGATCTCCAGGGTCCTTTCCAACCTAGATGATTCTGTGATTTCCATCCCCGGAGATGTTCAAGGCCCAGCACAACCTATCTTATTTCAAAGTAAGTTCTTGAGCAGGGGACTGGACTAAGAGACCTCCAGAGATCCTTTCCAACCCCAATCATCCTGCAATTCAGTGTAGCACACCAAAACTGAGAGGAGACCTTTCCGGGTGAAAGTCTTTTTATGTGCTCCAAACAAATATTAATACCTTTTATCAGGCTAACATTATACTATCCTCAGTGTACAGCAAGTATAAGTAACAGGAGGATTAAAATCCACACACTGTGCAGTCTTATGCCATAATCCACCCAGCTACTCTTTCCTCAGCTGTTATACTCCAGCCCTCTTCGCTGCCTGCCCCTGCCAAATCCCAGGACAACCTTTCAATCACTCCATGCTCCTCAGGACTTCTCCAGGCCAGGCTCAATAGACCTGGAGTCTTCCTGATCCCACTCACACACTCACTCATTTGATTAGCAGTCATTGCATCACCTCACACATTTCATCCAACTCCTGTAAAGTAATAGTAATAACAGGACTTCCAGGCAGTATAGCTGCTTAAACTCATTTTTCACTTTCTTTTGCATTTGACAAAATAGCATATGCCAGGCCTGCAGAAAGTCAGTCAATTTGCAAGTTATCCAATCAGTTCCTGAGCCTGCTTTCCAGTGTAAAAGACTGAAAACTAACAAACTGAGCAACTTTGTAGGTCTGTGCCTAACACCATAGGCAAAATTTTGCCAAAAAAACAGATGCCTGTGCTAAGGCAGCATGTTAAGACAGGGGGGAAAAATTTTCCTATTTCAAAAATCAGCATAATAAAATGTTCTTATATTTGGTTGCAGGTTTTTTCCCTCAAAATTGTGTATGAGAGGATCTCATTCACAGAAACAGAACCAAAGCTGATGTGTGGAAGTTCATATACAATCTTCATCAGTGATATTTTGAAAATAGTTTCTGTATTTTACAGCTTAAAAATCTCTATCACACATATTTGAAAAAGATATTTTAAGCAATTACAAAGCTACTTTAGAGAATATCTCAATATAAAAAAATACTTTTTATTAGGTACACTGCTTCCCTGAATTCAAATTCATCCTGATGTAGAATTACAAGAAAGTAAATCAGGAGACTTGATTTTCAGAAATACCAATCAAAGTAAAGCAAAAACAGGGAGCTGCGTGTAAACGTAGTATCCTCTTACACCGACATCCACAACAAAAAGCTATCATACTGAATTTATCATAAATGAATCTGAAACAGTTTTCTCTTCACTAAACCTCATGAAGTAACAGACCCAAGTGCTGACAGTAATCTACACACTTGTCACACTTCTCCTGGGAAGTCTGCCATAAGTGCCTGTGCAATTCTAGAAATAGGTAAGAGCAAACAGCAAATATGAACATTCTGCCACTGCTCGATTCCCTGAAACAGATCTTGAGCTTTTAAATTTTTTTTCTGGATCTGGCACATAACCAAGATTATTCTCTAAATTACTTTTTCATGCAATTATAGTTTTCCGCCAGGATACATAAAGATTTTGAAACAATGACAGTGGTGCTATGTACAGACGTCAGGACTGCAAGAGCACATTCTTATCACTGCTAACACTTTATCTCAAAGTATGCTCTGCTTTTTGATGTTGATGTGACTTCCATATTGCATCAACCCAGAAGTATAAAAATACTGAATGTAAAAAACCGCAGTATTAACATGAAAGCAAAACTGCTCTGCTCAATAAATTTTAGAAGTTCAAAACGGTTGTATTTTTGGAAAACATTATTCAATAAGGGAAACCTTAGTTTCAAGTTCCTCGATGTTTCAAGTTGGGGTTTTCCCTAGAGTCTCCTGATACGCAATGAATCTTCTCAAATTCATCTTCACATTGTCAAGAACACACAGTTGATCTGTACTATATTGTCCTTTGCCTTCTTTTCGCATCTGTAAAACCAAAAAATACATAATTTACTAATGGAGAAGTTTCTGCTATTAGCTCACCTAAAGCTTATAGTAATTCTATATAGGTCTTCTATCAAGACATGCTATCCATACCTTTTGAGAAGTCCAATGTATTCACATGTGCAGGTGTGTAGCTAGCAATTATTTCTGCAAGTCAATTCACTAACATCTCTGCCTAAAACTAGACTCCTATTGGCATGCTGTTTTACTCATAAATCTGAAACATATGATTATTTTCTGTAGATTTTTTGCCTTGTGATTCTTGCAAATACAGAATACATGGTCTATTTTAATTAACTAACAACAGAACAAAAATGCCCACCTGCAACTACAGGGTTAAAACCAAAAGATGTCAATGTAACTTTAGAAGGGACTTCTCTCCCACCAATTTAGCTGTTCCCCTCCACAGACATCTGCAGGACTTTTTTTTTAAACAAGGGTTTCAGAACAATGCAGTGATTTAGTCATCAATAACGCTGATGGGGTAATGCAGATGTTGCAATGCAGATGCTGCACTGTTACCTTGACAGTTCTGTGAACTGCAAGGTAAATGTATTTGCTTTCTTCTAAAGCAAGATATCAGGAATTCATTGGTTGTTTGTTGTGTTGTTTTTTTTTTTTGTCATCTTATAAAGCCATACATTCCTGCTTAATTATCTCTTCTAGCAGCCCAAATCTCAAAGCTTTAGCTCACATTGTGTGTTGAGACCCTGAGCTGGCTGCATTTGATGCCTACCCTCATCTTGAACACTGGCTGAAATTCTTTCAGTGCTGGAAGCAACTTGATCTGTACCGCTGCCTTTTCTGCTTCTTTACCATCTGCAAATACATCAAAAAGTGCATCCAAGGCTTCCCCTGCTACCACAAGAGAAGATTCCTTCATAGCAACGTCAAGAAGAAATTTTCCAATCATCTGAAATGAGAGAAAAATTGATTTTTCCAGCAATGCTTAAGAAAATTGAAAGAAGTATCAGAACTGGTTTAGGCCTGCAATCCAAAGTTTGCTTTTTTCACCTTTAGTGTTTCAGCTGTATCTTGTCCTTTTGCCAGGACACTGCCAGAAATTCCAAGGATGCTCACTACATTCACTCTAACACTGGCATTGCTGCTGTGAATACCAGCTTCACATAAAGCCAATAGCTGCTCAGGAGTCATACACTGTTGAGCAAGGGGACAAAAAAAAAAAAAAAAAAAAAAAAAAAAAAAAGGAAGACATCTTTATATTTTCATGGATATTTGCAAATATGACATTTAGATCATTTGCTTTTACAGAACACAGGCAAATTTGTAACAGAGAAACAAAGAGTTATGTATTTCTGTATTATGAAAACTACATCAATTCTGAAAATAGCAAGTAAAGAGTTAAACTCTCCCTTTCAACTTCTTAAGGTGTTTCTTCCATAAAGTAACCAAGGCTGTCATGAAACTGAAGGAAAAAGTTCTGAGCTCAAATATATTGTCACAAATTTACCTAGCTCAATAGCTACTTCCAACTCAGTACAACTTATAGTACAGAAGCTAATTTTTCACTTTAAAGCCAGAGTGGACCAGCAGACCATGTAGTATTAAGTCTTGTATAACATACTATGATGCTTTATTCTTATATTTAGCTCCCTCATTCATATCCAACCAAGATTCTAGAAGGACAACCAGGTTCAGCTAGATGACATCAGGAAATAAAGAATCCACATTTCTATGTGCTAATTTCCTAAATGCTGGTCATTATATCCATCTCCTAAATATACTACTTGTGGCTTATTGCTGTTTTGGTTTGAAATAACTTTCACCTGTTTACATGTTAAGGAGGAAATACATTTAAAAAAAAAAAGAATTCCTGTAAGGTCCATCAAAAATACAAAGAGTGAGTGCTATTCAATCTGTTCTTTCAGTGTTCACAGTTGCTGAAATTTAGCACTTCATTTTAATGGTTTTGTTTCAAAAACTTTCCAGCACTATCTCACGTGAATTTGAACCTACCAGAGCATTTGAGTTTGACAGCTTTTACCTGGGAGATGTTCTTTGATGCCATTGTTTGTAGGAGAGCCCTCAAAGCACTGGTTATGGCTTCCAGGAATTCTGTGTCTGTAAGGAGTTCTGTCAAAGAATTGAACCCAGAGCCAAAAGTTAAACAATAAGATGAAGGATACAAGAAGCAAAGAAATACAAATTCCTTAATCCTTTAATTGTTCCTCCAGGTACTACCACAAACAGGAAGCACTAGATTTTCAGAGACTGGTCTTTGTAGGTTGTAACCAATAGTGATTTGTTTGAATTCAGTATTAATTGCATCTGGAGGTTAGACCACAGTTGGTCCTCATTTTCAGGCACATCCCTGGTTAAGCCACTTGTGTGACCTAACATACAGTACAAACCACTGCTGTTGGAACAGAAGCTTGAAAACTGGTATCACATGGAGGCCGTAATACAGGAACTGAGGAAACTACAGAAGCTGACTGTATACTGTAACTCCTTCCTTCTGTCTTTCAAGCAGGCTTTTTAGACATCCAGAACCCTGGACTCTTGCCAATTCATATAAAGAGCATGTTTTCCGGTGGTTTAATAACCTTTTGGAAATCTGACTCAAACACTGCATTATTCTCGTTTAACTCCAAATTCATCAATACCAGCCATCATCTTCAATGTATGTTCTGCATTTCTTGAAACTTTTTATTTTCCTCTAATGTGTGCTAATTTTCTGGACCAGTCCAGAGGCAGAACCTCTTGATTATTTCATATGTATCTCTTCCTTTCCCATGTAAGCAACTAGATCTTTAATGCCTCTCACCCTGCAAACCACAGAATTCCTATTAACCACATGTTGATACATTATCAACTCTATCTGGCAGTTTCATCACATTGCATTTAACTATTAAAAAAATATTAACAAAAATGGAACTGGGTCGCTGAACTAATTTATTAGCACCCTCTGCCTTCGGCTAGCCACTTCTCCAGTGTCATCTAAGGACTTTCTGACTATAGCAAAGGATAACATGTAGACCCTGAAATCTTGGAAGTGCTGCTCTTCAAGCACGAGACAGAATATTTTATGTGAACTTCCTTGCATATGTTTTCTTATTTATTTTAATTTCCTGCATTTTAGTTTTTCAAGCACTACACTCTCAGTAATAATGTTCCCATAGACTGGTCACATGCTTTTAATGACATTGAGAAAACTGCGTTTTGCAGGCAGATGCATTTTCAAGCATTAATGTAGTGTCATACTATACAGTAAGTAAAAACTACATACACCACATCTGTGGCTACAAATGAAGATGCTTGAAGGAAGGGAAGAAAACAGAGCTGCTCAGGCTTCTAAGAGACAAGAAATGACAAAGCTATACATATGCTAGACTTCAACAGATCTCTTAGGAAAAATGCTTCCTGACAATTTTGAGAATTGGCAGGCTATTCCAGCCTCTAAGAATATCTTTTTTTTTTTTTTTTGAAAAGCCATCATCACTGACCTTAAAACAAAAACAGATCATCAGAATAGTCTAAATGAAGCAGCCTGTCAGGGAACCAGATCATCAACTTGGAACCAGTTTGGGTTTGGTTTTTTTTTCTTTTCTATTAATCTCAGTTCAGCTTCTCTAGAGTCAGTAATAGAGAGATCATCGCATAAATGGTCCAACAGTATTATTGGTATGATGCTGATTTGATATATAAGATTACAGGAGGTAGCTGGAAATGCTAACTGCTGCATATCTACACTAGGGCATCCAGTAATACTGATACTAGCAGATGCATGGGGAAACCATGACAGTATCTCTGTGAAATAGCATGCCTTGGAGGAACTACAGTGGATATATTCTGGTGTTTACCAGAATATATCTGATATTCTAAAAGAGTATTTTTAGAAAAATTAAATGTATTGCCTTCTCCATTGAAATCTAACCACCACCATAACAAGGAGTTGAGCAGTTTTAATATTTAGTCATAAAAAACTTTGCATATTTTCTTACTACAAATATATTTTCAATAAAGCTATGCAATCATATGCATAAAGCATATCCTGGACACAAGGTGGCTGCTCTTTTTCCTACTGTAATAAACATGTACATTCTGGAGATTTTTGCAACAACCACCTTTGCCATAATTTCATAAGGTTTTAAGAAAAATTATGTGAAAGACTGCGCTAGATACCCTTTTTTCACATCTCTATTTAGGCTAGTTAGCATGTTTAAAAAGAAAATGTCCCATCTTCATGGATTGTCTGACTGATGAAAAACTCCTATTATTACAAATAACCCAGCAAACAGTTCTGGTCTCACAGCAAGGCAGGATTCATCCACTAATCTAGACACTTCCTGTGTGCACACAGCTATGTAAAGCATATTCTTGCATTAGTATCATACTTACTCAAGATGCAATTTGGATAAACCCATCTTATCAGGATACCCTGTTTTGTCAGCATATTTCCAACATTCAGTATCCTTATTTTGAAAGGCCAAAGGGATAAAATTAGTAATAAAATGGCGTTAAAACTTAACAGTGTACATAGCTAGTCTATATCTATACGATCAGCAAAGAGGGTCAGCAAGCCCCCTTTACTAAACATCTTACCCATTTTGGAAAAGACTAGTCGCGAGAGATGCTGTGCAAGGGATTGAAGTGCTGAAGCTCCTCCAAGACAATCCACATCTGACACTAACAAAATGCTATGAAGACATGTTAAAGCTCTACACTGCACTGCATTCAGTCTGGAACAAACAAACAGAAAAAACACTTAGCAGATCTTTTTGAAAACAGTTGTCAAAATACAAAGAATAATCTTGAATTAAATAAGGCTGTGATCCGATGTGCAGTTTATAGAAACATTTATATCTCTATTCAAAATCACTTATCAGATCTGCCATTGTCCAGATCTTAAAAGTAACCCAAAGATAGACAATCCTTCTAAGAGTTCTAAAACAACTGAATATACATGAAAAATAGCAAAAGAGACAATGAAATTCCTACTTTTTAATTAATGGTTTCCAAGACGGATTGTGCATACAGATGTCTAGAGCAACACTGTTCGGAAAAGCAGTTTTTTCAAGAATCTGAGGAGGGGAAAAAGAAAGGTTTAGCAATAAAGCTTTTTTTTTTTTAAAAAAAAAGTGTATTTGGAAGGAAGACTGACATTTTAGCTCAATGTCAAACGGATACTTCAAACTACGTATTTCAGAGCTTTCCGAGTAGCAAGTGTCTCACCTGCTAAAAATGCCAGAATCTTTGTCAGTCACTCAAACGGTGCAATTATACACTGGGTCTAGCACAGAATATTTTAAGTATCCAACTGTACTGAACAAAAAGTGATATTCTAAGTCTCTGCTATTCTTTTTTATTTAAATCTTTCTTCTTACAGCTTCCACTACAGAATTTTCAGTTAGCTGCAAGTCTAAAAGACCTCGCCATGAAACTCAGACTGCTTGCTATTAAGTCTGCAATGTTTTAATCTCACACCTTGATGTCTTGGGTCAGAATTCTACAATGCTGATGAACTAGCCTAATAACTGAATCAAATGATGAACAACCCCAAATGAGTACAACAACTCTGAAACAAGAACACCTGAGTTCCTGTCAGTGTCAAATATGGCACTTCCAATATTACATATAAAACAGGGGGAAAGAGGACCTTGTACTTTTTCAATGCTGATTGTTGCCATTCTCATATGTTACTTCCACCTCACTTAGCTAATATGGAAATCTGGCAGTCATGCTTCTACTCAAAGCTTCCTTTCTTTTTGCAGGTAATCTTTTTCATGTCCAAATCAAGGAATAACCACCTTTTATTTTGGAAAGCCAAATTTAAAAAAACCAACCAACCAACCAAAATCAAACACACCCCACCCCCCCCCAAAAAAACCCCAACCAAAACTCAACAGATTTCTGAAACACGTGAACCTTCTATTCCCACTTTCATGAAGAAATTATTCAGTTCAAGACAGCTCATGTGATGATGCACTACCTCTAGGCCAGTAAAAGTGAGGCTAAACTGATTTTTTAAAACATTCCTTTTCTCTAAATGGATTGGGATATTTTGTTTGCCTAACCTGGGACACAAATCAGGCACAAGGGAAAGACTGTACCATGTGTTGGAAGTAAAATAAAATACAATACCTTCTTTGGAATGAGGTTGTTCAGAAATGCTGAGTTAACCTCATCAGAGAGGCACAGGGGTGACATTAGCAGCCCGGTCCCCTCATTGTATGAGTTCTCCATAAACAAGTCGCTTTCATCACTGCTGGAGAGTTCTTCCCATTCGTCATCAGAAGGATCTGAAAACAGAATACAGACTTATAAATGTAACAGCACTCATGCAGTAGGTACCCTACTTCTCAATTACACTTGGCTTCACCTCTTGGTTTAGGAGTCTTTAAACTCTTGAATTCTAAGGAAGTCCACACAAACAAAGTGCCAATAAGCCACAGTTCTAAATATTATACTACTTTTGTTTAAATTGTTTTATTTTTTTAAAAAATATTTTATATTCATTCAGGCAACAAGTATTCTTATGAGAGAGGTTCCTCATACACAGATAATTCATTCTCTCATACTAACTATGCTTCACTTAAAGATACCAGAAAAGGTATAGAAGAAACATTTCACAAAGCATTTACTAAGATTTTAACTTGGATTGTACCATTTTACTTTTTGAGGTAGATTCAAGCATGCAAATATACCAGTTTGACTTAACTTGTATACTAACCGCAATCAGTTTAAGGCAACTGTTCCCTCTGGCAATCCTGAAGCCACAGACAGACATTCTCTGACTGGGCAGTAACTGGGCTGGATGAAGATGTTACTGTCTCCAAAGCAAGGTGAGTTGAAAAGAAATGATGACAGCAAAACAAGCCAAAGCAAGCCAGATCATCTCTGTTCGCCATCCCAAGCCACATCTTTTAAGTAAACTAAACCAGGTTTATAGTTATAGACCTGAACTAGGTTTATACTTACATGATTTACTCTACTAGCAGATCTGTAAGGGCAGACATGGTGAGAGGGCTTGAGGTGGTATTACTAACAGGCATAGCTACTGTAAAGTGAATAATCTGTCCATGGCTAAAGGCAGAATTGACCTGACAAGAACAGGCTAAGTCCATCATTTATATTTAAACTGATATATCTACATCCACAACATTTACAGGGATTTATCTAAAGTTGGTTTAAACCTGGTTACATTTTAACTGGTGTGACACTGCTGCTTATGCAAGTCCTAAGTCTACAGGTTGGACTGATCCTCCTCACTGACAGGTGAAAGTTCTGCCTGCATACATACGTTAGGATATTTAACTACTGTGATTAAAAAAAAACCCAAAAAAACAAACATATTTTCCCCAAAGTAATTTTGTCTGACAACAGATTCATGTGAGATCTAGGTACTGTACTAACTAGAGTAACAGCCATGCACTTTTTCTGTAGCAAAAGGTAAATTAATTCACTTAAAATACAGCAAGAAAGATTTAAATGAACACATTTCACTTGTACTGTGCAGCTTAAGAATTTATTTGAAGGTGATGACTATTGTTTATCCAGTGCAAACTAACTCATCAGGCTGTGGCAACTTGAACACATGGGCACCTTCTTCTGCTTATGGTAATATACAAGTAATCCTACTGCCATAATATGCTGTTGTTAATAGCCTTTGCATGAGGTAAGGTTATCTTTTATGCTTTACCAACCCACAGTAGCAACAAGCATGAAAACAAAGCAGACATCCCTCTTCAGCCAGTCTTTTGCCTCTTCCAAAAAAATTCCATCTGCATTTTTACAAAGCAAAGAAAACATCAATCTCCTTTGAAAACTAAATAAGTGTATGAGCTGACCATGCAATTCAGCAACAGCAAAGACAACAGTCATCCTGTGTTCACAGTGAGTGACCAGGACAGAGCAGGAACTGGGCTCTAGAACATCATCCCATGACTAATCAGGTTTCTTAATACGTTCCTGGAAATACAGAAGCATTTCCAACGGCAACCCCATCTTAACTAGCACTGGTAACCTACGAATTACAGACTGGACAGCAATGCTGGAGTCTCCTGGCCTCCTTCCCATGCCCCCGTTAAGGGGAGACTACTCTATGCTTCTTCCAAACACCAGTCAGCATTCAGTAAAACATGTCTCTTGCCAGCCTGGTTATCTCCCCCAGTTCTGCAGCCAGATGAGTGTTTCTATGAACTCAGCATAATGGCTTTAAAGCTGTTTTAGCCCTCAAATAATGAAAATTAAATGAACAGCTGCCTCTGGATTCCTCTTAATTTCTACAGACTATGTTTCTCTCTGCCCATGAATGGGTACTGTGGTGAAATACAACATAATCAACCTTACATTACACTGAGTGAATGGCAGAATATGCAGCTTATCCACAAGAGAGTTTCCAATTAAAGGGGAGAGCTTATGAATTACAGCTCATTAGATGAGAAATGCAGTTATGAAAGGAACCTCATATACTAGGTGCAGAACTTCCTTGCACTGTAAGAGAAAAAAAAAATCACCACTGGGAATATCTGGATATTACTGTGGATTTTAATAGAATCTGGAAGATTTACTCAGAAAGTTATCTCTGACACAATTACTTTTGCATCAGGCTTACAAACTGTAGTAGCAATTAAAGTTTTAATGTTTTGGAGGGGGTTTTTGGGGGTAGTTTTGTTTGGTTGTTCTTTCTGGTTTTTTTTAAACAGAAATTGAGAACTGCTTATTTTGTTTCCCAAATATTAGGAGACAAGCTATCAAAACGGAGTATCAGAGTTCACAGAAGATACAGAGCATTTATTTCCTACTCTCTCCAGAACAACAGTATTTTTCCCCTCCAGAAAAGCTCACAAAGATGGAACTCTGATCAGCCAAAGCCTGCATTGCTGCCAGAGTTGCATGCAAAAGCCATCTCTCCCCATCCTTTTACAGCACTGACAATATCAAAACTAAATCAAAACAACAAGATTTATCATGCCCCTGTCCTGCAATAAGATTCACACTCATACTGTATCAGATGAACAGATGGCTCTAACTGAACAAAGATTTTGTTCTAATACTTTTTAGGAAATAACTCTTTGACACAAGTGCTTTTTCGTTTGTTCTTAAATGTTGGCACATGTAGTATCATGCAGAAAAATATGTAATCAACAGAAATTACTTAAATGAGAAAAAACACGCTTAAATTAGTAACAGAAATTACAATCCAATATGCCCCCCAGATAAGGGTACCAGGGACAGTAAGTCTGTGTGAATTCACCCTTAAAAGCCAAGATCACCAAACAGCAAACTAAACATGACATATTCTAGAAACAAAATGCACCGCAACACTTGCAATGAAAGAGATTCCTACAAACCTTCACTGCAGCACATATTAACAATGATTTCCAGAGCAGTCTGCTGAGCCATCAGTAAAGCTGTCACTTCTTTCAGTTCCCACTTATCAGACTAAAAAATAAAAACATGAACCAAATTTAATTTTGTAAAACAATGTTTCAGTGCAATTTAAAGTACCCAAGCTGTCAGTTAAAAATATAAATCATTTCCTCTTCTCATCCTACAACAAAACTTGAAAAAACCCCACAAAAACAAGAGGAATTATCTATCATCTTTCTGTTGGATGTTTCATAAGAGATTTTACCTTCAAGACACGCCACCTGCAGTAAAGTCGTAACAGAAAATACTACCTAACAGAAACATGTATTTCTGTTATTCTTTTAATGTACTCAATAGTGAATGCATTTTTTAATCTCTGAGCCATCTCCACTCATGACTGACTGGTTGCAACCATCAAAAATCTAACTCGCCTTATGCAGAAATCAAAACTTCCCGCAGTAGCTACAAGTGGAAGCGTCAGATAAACCCTTACCTTCCACTAGAGGAAAAAACTGAAAATGCGCTTTCCTGATGTTCTGTGCAACTTGGCCACATTGGAACAAGTTGTGCTGAAATTCTCCATGCTCATCTTTGAAGTTGACTACAATAGTCAAGCTGTTTGGGAGTCAGGATTAGTAACACTCACAGGTAGTTTGCTCTGGCTAACGCTGAGCCAAGAGCAGTGAGATACTCAGCCAAACGCACTAAGCTGTCCGAGAGCCAGCCAGCCACACTTACTGGAAGTAGATCTGAAATGTCGTTTTCTCTCCTGACTTTTCCTTTTGGTATTTCTTCCATGTTATCATCTTCACTCAAAACGCAGTTGTCTATAACATCACTCATGTTTTCTTCTGTGTCTGTCTCCGCAGCAAGTTTTAACCTGTTTTTTTCAGCTTCATTCATACGGATAATTGTTTCGCCAGCATCTATTGCTAATGATTCTGAAAAAATCTTCAGGATTACATTAATCATGCCTCCCAGGCTGCCTGGTGGAATGGTATCCTTGATATTCCAAATAGTGCCTAAACAAGAGATAGTTGAAATATAAAAATTATTAAAATACTCAATTCCCAGTTCTGCAATAGCCATACATTTTGTAAGGACAGTCTCCACTATTTAAAATACCCAGTGCTTATATTTCAGTATGAATGTTCAAGTCTTTTCTCTACAGACTTGTATTTCTTCCTGTTTAGCATGCTATATACTCATCTGTAGTAACTATGTTACACCCACATCTTAAGCTCAAATCTCAGCATGTAAATATACATAGAACATATGTGGAGCCCCCGCCTGCAATAAGAAAATCCACATGAAATATCCATTTTCTAAGGATTCTCAAAATTAATTTATTACACTCCAGTATCAAAAATCACCATGGTTGAGCATCTGAGGTAGAAAGAAGAATGCAAGGTAGAGAACCTAAGGTAAAAATCTATGCCTGTTAAGATCAAAACGACTCCTGTACTACTTTTATTTGACTCATTTCACTTTTGAAAACCAAATGAACAGTTAAAATAGGTTATCACACTGAGCAGGTACTGAATTCAGAATCAAGCATTTAAGACCATTTTAAAACTAGTTGCAAATATGTGGTCACTCAAAAACACAACACAATCCCAAAAGGCAGAAATATCCTCATGAACGATCTATACAGGCTTTAACAATCCGATGTCCAAACTATAGCAGAGAAGACTAAGCCTTCTGTCCTTCACACCCTTCTTTACCTGCCGTGCTCTGCACCACAACAGCCTTGAGCATCATACCTGCTATCAGTGTTCTCAGAAGGATGTGCTTCATTGTGCTCTCTGGACACAATATCACGGTTTCCAACACTTGTTGCGCAGAAGCATTAAATGAAGAAAGAAGATCTGGATTATCTTCCGTCACTGCCTGCAAGCAGTTTGCTGCAGCAAACAACAAGGACAACAAAGATAATTAACAGACCCGATAGTAGCTTTCACTCTCCTAATGAGAAAGCATTACCTTCCTGACAGCTGGAGTAATGAAATGCAGACACAGGGAAAAACATTTCATGCAGCATCATGTTGTAATGGCATGACACTGTCCTCCACAAGCTGTGTTTCAGATTAAAAGACATTCTATGGCAAACCTGTACATAAAACAGGTGAGGACAGTGCCACAACAGACAGGGGACTAGCTGTATTAATTTCAGCTACTCAAAATTAAATTTCTCCATTGTAAACTGTCTAGAGACAAATCAAAAAAATGTTGCAAGCACATATAGGTGTAAGACCATTATATAAGACTATAACAACAATACTAGTAAAACCACGTTGAAAGTGACAGGAGTTATTTGGATTTGTTTCAAATGGACTATGTCCTTTGCACCACAAATTAAACCCTTCATTACCAAAACCAGAAAATGAAAAAACAGAGCCTCCATCTAGAGGTTTCTTTCCACAAAATTTTTCCTCCTGTGTCACCACTGATAAGCCATTCTCCTTTGGACTGAAAACAAGCACAACAGATGGCAACTTCTGAATGACATGCTGTTCAGAAGGGAATTCAAAGTCTTTTATTGATTGTAAAGTTTAAGTAATGCTAAGGTAGGTGCGTTATCCAATGGATGTGACATCATTTTATTCATATAAAAGAAAAAAAGGATTTTTAAATCTTTATCTTCATTTTTTACCACTTACCTACTGAAATAGCCAGATCCACATTTGTGGAAAATTTCTTCATGTAATGTAACACAGCCTCCAGACATCCTTCTTTATTGAATATGGATACCGCAGTGCTGTTGCATTCACTAATGCGTAAGAAAGATTAATAAAACACTTCTCCCAGGATAAAATTACGGTAGCATTTTAAGTAACATGCACTCACTATTACTCACATTTTAAAAACCTACCTAAGAACTACACATTAGTCAAAGAGCTACCCTTCATTATCAAGGTTATAACCAACTCCTCTGTATAATAGAGAAAAAGAACCTGCAATACCCTGGACACCTTTGAGGAAAGCTGTCTTCTGCCAGCTGCTTCCTCATACACAGTATTCAGGAGTTTATTTGGGAACCTAAGTACGGTGCCATGCGGACAGAGCCAGCCAGAGGGTGAAAGGTTACAGCTGCAGGCTACAAGCCGGCCCAGAGCTTTCTGCAGCCATGGAAGACTTCATCCACAAACCCACTGACAACAGAGCAGGCTGTTGCCTTTCAATATTCACTTACTCCAGAAAATTACATGCGTTCAGAAATGCATGCTACATCAATGCTAAATGTGACATTTACTTTATTTAACAGTGGGATTTGTATTTCTTCAAGTTTTCACAGCTATTCCCATTTTAAAACTAATATATTGATATAAGACAAATTCAAACTAAAAAAGCATGGGACCTAACTAGCTACAACAGTCTTCAAAAATTTACATTTGAAAATATGTCTCAGCATCAACGCCAGCCCCAATTTTATCAGTACCAAACTTGGCAACGAATTCAGCAGTTCAGAGTCATTGCCACAAAGTTCAAAATACAGAATTGATTTAGAGAACACTTAATGATTATAGTTCCAGCTCCAAAGAACTTATGTCTACAAAAGCAATAAAAAAAATGAACACAAAACATTGTTGAGTCAGTTACAAAGGGTCATGTATTCTGTGTAAGGTGCTGAGCAAGCAGTTTCTGTACTGTTCTAGATTTCAATTCCTAAAAAAAAAATTAAAAATAAGGCCTCAAGCAAGCAGCCATACCAGACAGACAGACATAGAGGCAACTCCACCAAAATACTGTACAGTACAAAACAAAATCCTGTATGGACCAAAGTCCATAATGATGTGGAGCTATTACAAAACAGAGAGAAACAACACAAAATTCAAGGAGAACTTTCAGAACAGGTTTGTATCACTTCGATGTTTATAGCCTTTTCTGTATTAATAGCGTTGCTATTTCTCTCCCTTCACCTGTTGTTTCCAATGTACACTACCAATTGAACAATTAACTTTCTCACATAATCAAGTAGATTTGTATCAGTGCCTCGGTCACTAAGGGATAGTTTGTCCAAACATTTAATATTAACTTTTGGGATGACATGGAGAGGTAGGAGGTAGTACAAAAACTCCTCATATTCCCAGAGCACTGGAGTCCACTGATCAGAAGTTAATTTTCTCCATCTCCCGTATCATGATAGGGAGCTACAGGAACTGCATGCAAGACCCCACAACCAAAACTGTACAGCAGCCTGTGACAGAACATGTTCAGAAAACAGTATCAGAACTTAGGATGAACAACTAATAGAAAAAAAATGTCATCACTCTCCTAAAACTAATGACCAACTTGGTGCACTTTTAGAATCCTTCACTTACAAAAGTAATTTATGGTAGAAGACAAACTGGTACTTCAGATCAGATGAGAGCTTGCTGTTTATTAAGCAAGGCACACATAGGAGCAACACAATCAGAAATCAGAATCAGCAACTGAATATATCCTCCCATGCAAGGACAGTAATTTCTTTTCTGCCTCAATTACCATGCTCTTTTTCAAGAACAATTTAATTTAGCTCTTCTAGAAGGACAGTGTTTACACAGCACTTACCATACATTCCATAGCAAATTAATAGCCTCATTGGCTATGTCTTCAATATAATTTTTGTTCATCTCTCTGCATTTCCTTGGAGAGAGCTGGTTAGCATCTAGTCCAGTGCTACACTACAAACAAGCCAAGAAGAAAAGCAAAAGCTTAAAACACTGGCAGCAGATTAAATAGAGAGATCTCTCACTAAGTGTTTATTACCAGAAAACCTGACTAGTTTCCTATTCTCTATGAAAACTGGGCCACAATGGAAGTGATTCATTGATAATTTTTGTCTCTTGTAGAGACTCTTACAGTACTTGCTTTGCATTCAATAGTGTTCAGAAGCATTTCTTTTTGCAAAGAAATACTTAGCAATGTTAGAACCTGAAATGCTGTTTCTTGCTACCAGTCTGTATGCAATTTTCAACAGCTCTTTCTAATCACAAAGACTAATTCAGCTAGTATCTTGCTGCGCTTTACAATAATGCTATATTACCTATATTTTAAAATGGGGAAGAAACATACAGAAAATGATGGCATTGCTCAAGGCTGCTCATACAAAGACAGCAGGTGACAGAATTCAATGCAATTTCCAAACTGTACTGCAACACCTGGACCAAACAAAGAATAGGTATTCAGTACAGATTATTCTACAATAACAGTAAGAACCCAGTTGTAAACCCAAGTTTTCACTTAGACAAATTTGTTTACCAAAAAAATCTCACTACAATAACGTTGTAACATAAATACTGGATCTGGAACTTGATTGACTGATAGAATAGACTTGTCTTGACTAATGTTCCAGATCAAAAATCTCCAGAACATTTATGCAAAAAATCATCCTAGGCAGCAAATCTCAGCATGGACCCAAGTTAGCGGGTCAGGAGGCAGAGGCAATTGGTTTTAAATCTCTGGAATAATTTTTGTACTGTTAAACCTACTGAAACATTATTTTAAAAGATCTTTCAAATATCTTGACAATAGCTACAAAAATTAACTATTTTTGAAAACTGGTTAATTCAATGGCTAGATCAGTTTTAAAATCATAATAAAAATAAACACACCTCTTTCAGAAGTGCGACAAGAGGTGTCATGATGTCTTTTGTCACCATGTCATCACAGACATCAAATCCTCCACAAGCACTCAGATTTCTGGGGGGGGGAAAAAGCTTTGGATCAGATACAATACTTCCCATGAATGTTTTAAAAGCACATGCATTTGGTATTCTTCTCTAAAAGTAATGGTACTTTTTGTTTTAAAATCAATCTTCCTAATCAGTACCTTCAGTCTTCTACCTTTCTAACATAAAAGAATAACTTCGATGTTAGGAAAAAAACCTAATATTTTCATTACTTGTCTAACTAGAAAGCTTATCTGTATGAAAATATTACTTCTGTCAGGTGTTACTGAGTGTAAGATATAACATCAATGTTAACAAGTATTTGCATTACATTTTTGTACAAATAAAGCAAGCTGTAGGTCTGACCACAGAACACCAATTCAAAATGACACTGTTCAGTATTTACAAGTTTCTCAAAAAGCCAGCTATGTGCATTCCCTAACCAAATCACTGCTTCTACATTAAGAGACAAAATGCCATACCAATGGCATACAAATTCTCTGTATTTCTTCATATACTGTTGGTCTTTTCTTCTTAACATAAGGATTTAAGCAGTGCACTCCACTGGAAGTACAGAAATGGTAGCAACTAACTTAAAGCCTGCTCCTGACATTAAAGTCTCATGGCAGCCTACTAGAGAAAGAAAATTCGCTATCTCGGGGACTTTGACTGATGTAGGCTTACTTACTCAAAACAGAGTTAAGGGAAGAAAGGCTGGCATTCAAGTTCATGGCTTTCAACAGCAAAACCCCACTCTTTTCTTTGCCATGCCAAGGGTACCTCATTCTAACTGAGTATTAGCAATTGCTTACCGGAGAGCACCTGCAGCTGTCTCGCGAACAGCTAAACTGTGATCCATCAATAATGGTCCTAAGCACCGGACAACATCTCTCTGCAGAAAGGCTGGAATTACGTGCTTCTGTTGCAACAGCTTGGAAATACTGGCACAGGCATACTCCCGCACTTCAGCGCTTGGATGCTGCAGCTGGGGAGACACAAACAGGGCAGATTAGGAGCAAGGGAAAAGGTAGCTAAAGTTTTTATTGGAAGAGACTGATCTGCTTTTTGCTTTGCAGGCCTGGGGCACTGTAGCTCCTGTCTTACTGCTCCTGAATGGAATCAAGAGCTTTTAACTTCCATGGAAGTTTATCAATCTTTGCCTGGGTTATGTGTGTTAACTATACAACTAGATAAATACTATTCTGGGTGTCTTAACAAGAGAGCCATAGTTCAGACACAGATTTGTCACTAGCTGGCACTAGTGAGACCTCATACCTACCTTTGATTACGTTTAAAAAACAAAGGGACAAAAGTAGGCAAAAACACCATCAAGGAAGTAAAACATACATAACATATGCCACCATAAAAAGACCCTAAATAATCAAAAAATATGAAAAAACATGATAGCCTCTAGATTAAAAACATCTGCTTAAAGACAATGAGCAAGCCTTCTCTACATCCAGAAGACAATACTGACTTGTGCTGTAACAAACATTTAGGTGACATGTAAGAATTGCAAACCACAGAAATAAAACAACAGAAATGCCTATCCTGGAAGGTCACGGAGTTTGTTGAAAACCTAACAAAAAAGATAAACATCTGCGAAGAGCAGAGTGGAAGGGAGCTGAACATCAGCTCCTGCCTCACTGAAACTGATAGAAGTCTCTCAGTTCCGCCTTACCTGTGCATTTATATTTTTTCCTTATTTTTTTAAGACTAAATAGATCAGTCCAGAAGAATGACCAAGCAGTGATTTGTTCAATGAGTTAAGTGCAGTGAACAAAGGGAATTTACCTACTTAAGGAAAACAGATTTTTACTTCTGATTCTAAAGTCACATGGGCAGGAAGAGGTTTAAACTAGTTTTCATCTGTAATACTTAAATCAGACCCAGGAATGTGGCCAACAAGTGGCCAAGCCCAGCTTTCTTCAGCATTTGCTATCAGTTGTTTCTGACGTGTGGATCTTGGACTGACCGCTCTGTGTACCTGTAGGAAAACTCTCCAGCCGGGGCACTGAGCCCTGGCACTGCCAGAACGCCTTCGAGGCCTCTCCTGGGACGAGGGGCACAGAGCAGCCCCCCGCCCCGGCCCAGCCCCTCCGAACCGTTCCGGAAGGCTCAACGCGAGGCCGGGCGGGGCGCCGCGCCCCTCCCTGCCCAGCCGCTTGCGG